CCCCCCCCTCCCCACACGTATATGCTTATTTGTGCACATGAATAGTGGCAGTCTCCAAGTCTAAAACGGTTGGACAACAATAACACCAATAGCAACAGCTTACCATCAAGGTGATGAAATTATGTGAATACTCACAGTACACCATTGGACGAACACACACGCAAGAAAATATTCCCTCAGCTCTAGAGATTCGTTTTGGGCAAACCGAATAACGACATGAATAAAAGCAATACGAAGGTCTCCGCGTATTCGAAAGCAAATGTTGCGGATTGCTCCTTGAAGACGCCCTGAATTATCCTCAGTCATCTGCATGGCAAAATACTCTAGTGAAGGATGGCTACCGAAATTAGGTCAGTTGCCTCAACACGATTGAGTTTGCATGAGAAAGGATGGCATTTCCTTGTTCAGCCTTAGTGCTGTTGTGTACTCTACAGAAATACGCGCTCATAGCCTGTAGCAGATACATCTTGAACACTGTGAATGGAGACCCTACGAAGACAATTTATTTCTAGCTACATGCAGTAATGAAGCAGCGGTGCTGGCTATGGTTCTATAGGAGTGAATGCAATTCCTGCCAATTTGCACCCGAGGAGGTATTGCTTTATTTTATCTATTTATAGCAAAAAAATTCCATGTTTTTAATCTGCAGAAAGTAGAGCAAAGTGTCGAAAAATATGTGCATTCGCGCAGTAGGCAATTCGATATAGCCCACATCCATAGCTAGTAAATAATATTATTTTTTTAACAGAAAATTCCCATTTAATGGGCCATGCGCATGTTCTAATTCACAGTTGGCACGAATTGGCGCATACATTTCTTTGCGCTCTTAAAGAGTATCATTAACAAATCGGCTGAGTAAATTTTCGAATTTCGTCGTCTTGACCTCGAAAAAGGAGCAACACAAGACTGACAATCTGCTCATTGAGGGAAGTTTAAGTAAAATTAGATTTGACGAGAAGTCACAAGCTTAAACGTAACAAAAACGCTAATTCGATGATTGATCTACGTGGGTTCATGAGAATACACAAGTTTTTGGTAAATAGACTGTGTCTGTCATGTCGCCTACACATTTGTCACCGACGCTTGGAACCACATTCTTCGTGCTCGCATGCATAAATCGATAAACCCAAATTCTAGTAACTCTGTTTGTCACTCTAACTGCAGTTGACCAGAATGTGATGCTCCAATTCCCTGCTTTTCTACCCCAATCTTCTAGTTTTCGCACCAATGTCGCATGACAAGTGTTTAGCTTATCAATCCATTTCTCTATTCGTCATACAAACTCAGCATGTAGGTCCTTCTTTAACCCGAAATTGTTTCAATTGATCTTTTAACTTAATCCAACCCTACTCCAACCCCTCGTTAGTTTTTTTTCAGTTAAGTGCTCAATACTCCTTTAACTTCAATCCAGGGATGAGACCTTTGTTATAGCATTATTTGAAATATTCAATGCGTTTTATAGCGCCAGAGTAATACACACTAGTGGAAGTTATGGATAACCACTGGATAGGGAGACTATCGAATGACAAATAGAATGGGCCTAAGCAGAGCAACCCGATTCTAGAAATCCAATTCACTATGTCACTAAAGCCAGTACTTATAAAGCTTTCATAGCAAACGTTGCATAACCATTTCATACAGAGAGAAGGTTGGGGCATACTCTTATTACAACTCAAGCCTCATTTTATTAGAAACAAAGCCGATAGAAAAAACGACTATATATTGATAATAACATACACACTCCTTCTCGAGTAATAGATAAGAGAGAGAGAGAGTTAGTCAAAGACAGACAAGGAGTTAATACCAAAGGGAAATAAGTCTTCTATACAGGGGAAACAAACCAGAAGATACGAATTTGTACACATAAAGATGGCATTGCAAAGTAGGCACAAAGATTCTTAGGTAAGGACATCTATGGGGGCTTCTTGTCGAAAGCATCTAGTTCGGCACGGATTTTTTGGCGCTCTTTCAGGGTCTTCCAGGCGAAATCTCGATCACGCTTCAGGGCTGTGCGCTTTTGGGCCTTGTAGCTCTCCAATTTATCGTATGCTTCCAAAACCTATAAAATGGAATGTAAAAACTCGTAATAAAGGACCTGGCTCCTGTAAGCAAATCATTAGGAACCGAAGAATATTGCTTCGAATTAATCACAGAGAAGGGTAGTTAAACTGTGGAAAGAAGGAATTGAAAAGGAATTTGACTATCCGGATGACACACACAGTAATCTTGTAAGTTGTTCTGTAATGGCAGTTTTCACATTGAAATAGCGTGCGAACAGCTTGGACACAAAAGTAGAGAAACTTAGTCAACTTTTGTGAACTCCAAAAGTCCTGTTTTTGAAAATTATGCAAGCTAATTTCACCTAGCTAACAGAGCCATTAGGGAAAATTAGCTCAACACTTCAAACCAACCCTAAAATGGGGTTTGGCGCCACCACTAATTCCTTAAAATAGCTTATTTCGGGTGGATGAGTTCATCTTCAATTTAACGGCTTATCAAGTGAATTTTGAAAAAGGAAAATTTACAGCAATGCACTCGAAAACCAACATCAACAATAATTTTCCCTGATCGAAGATTAAATTGATCAGTTTCCGAATCTCGTTCCAGATATCTCCAACCAATCAGATTCAAAGTGAAAAGAAAAATAATTAATTTATTCTTTTATTATGAACTACAACTTGGTGCTGATTCAAGCACTTTCGTACTATCTTTAAACTACTTCAACAGTCTTTAACAACTCGTTTCCTGCAAATACCTAATCACAATCTTACTTTTGACCTGACTCCGATGTTACTCAGCTCCCTATTTCTAATTCTCAAAGATCAACTCACACAGTCAAGTAGATTAAGCTAAAACTTCTATCTGCTGCCTTAATAGACCCCTCTAGACCCATTAGGGTAGCATGCCAGATAAATCCATCGATCGATATCTATTCTACGTAGCTTTATATTTAGTCACTCCAGTAGTGAACTGGCTCGAACAAATCCAAGTTGAAATTTAGAATATAAGGATTTAAAGTGAAACTCACATCAGCATCTGCAATAGCGAGTCTCCGTTGAATCTCCTGCCTTTGCAAGTCTCTTCTAGCTGCCTGTACAAGTCTATGGAGGATATTATGATTGGAGGCACAGAGCTGACGGAGTTCCCGCTGACGCCTCATGAGAGCTAGGGTTATTTGATCAGAGGATCCACTTGCAGCTTCAATAACACTACAACTCGCGGCATTTTTCGAAGAGGATGAAGTAAGATTGAGAATACAATTGGAGAAATCCTCATCTTCATCTGTGCAATTGAGTTGAGGAACGCTTCCGACGAACCATTCGCTGCCTTCCCCTAGTGAGATGCCAGTATTACCATTGCATCCTCCTGAAGAAAGATTTCCTTCCTTCTTATCTTGCTCCCCCGATAGTGACTCATCTGGTTTTGGTAAAGTTGAAGATATTTTCTACAAAGAAGAGTGTACGCAACAAAATAAATCAATGCGAGCTAAGCCAATGACATAATCTTAGACTACAAATGCAATACCGTTAGATAACCATGTCAAGAAGAAGGTAGGGGAACTGCAACTCCGTTCAGTATAGAGGAACTGGTTGATTGCAAAGAGTGAAATATGATCACTCCATAATATCATGCTGTGCCATCAAAATGTTTAACGTGGAAAGATTTTGTCTTAAGGACTTACCCAGCGAAATAAACTATCCAAATATAAATTCTTCGATGGTGCAGAGAAAGGCGCATATACCTCTTGATAAACACTCAGAACACATTGCCTCAATAGGCACATAAGAATTCTCAACATAGGCTCTCAGAATCGACCTAACTAACATACATCATTCGAGTTCCCCATCAAAACTCGACTATGCCAAAATTCTATGCACAATGAAAGATAAAAGGTACTTCGCCAAGTGGATTTAGAAGCTACCACATTTATGAATTAGTGGACTAGAATGAGGTGGCAGAAGACTGATGCCCATCAGTGGACATACAATTATTTGAAAGAATATATGCACACGTCGTTATATGAAAAAGAATGTGAAGCAAAGTCAATTTAGACAAACTTGAATGGAAAACCATCCAGTAATAAAAAATTACATGATTTTCAAATAGATGAGGACGAAGGGACTCATCATTCCGATCATCCGGGATGTCGGATGTCTCCACATAATCAGCCTGAAGAGTAGCTGGGGGGATAGAAGGCACCTCATCGGTGGTGTCCGCATTACTTCCATCGATTTCGGCATCAGCAGGACAAGTGTCTTCCTCTTCATTGGCTGTGGAGAGATCGGTTGAAAAGGCGGCATTTGCTGCCTCGTCTGCATTCCCATCCTCTACCTCACTACCACTACTATGTTTCAAATCACTTTGAGGCGGACTACAGCCGTTTGACTGAACTGCAGAATACGGACCTTTTTGCCGCTATAAAATAAACAAGCATGCGATCACAAAACTGATGAAGCAAATAATATTGTCAAACTCGATTATATCTCAAAGTTACTATTGAAGACAAGCATTCATTTTATGTGAAAAAAGAAAGCATATCGAAGTTTATATCGTTTCCATGTTCACCAATACCAATTACTCCAAATAACCCTTCAAATGAATTTGAATTGAAGTTGGATTCACCATAACTACAACGGTCTCCGTGTAGATATTATTTAATTAAAGGATGAAGAGCGCGGTCCAGAAAAGTTCCATTGTTATCGAACCGACCCGTAACGTTAAGTGAAGCAGATGAATCGCCAATTGCAACTTCGGATTAAACGCATTCACCATTTTCGCCAGCTTTAAATTGTGGATTGTTCGGCCGGTAATTAGCGGTTAAAGGATGGGTCGTACCGTTAGCAAATCAGCATTGAGGAATATTTAGTTAACAGTATAAATGTATGCAATCAAACACTAAGTCAGATGCATCTACTTTGATAATATAAGGATTCTAGTGAAGAAGTATTTAAAATTACAAGCACATATACAGAATATTTAAAAGGTTTAAACAAAAGTTTAAAGGAGACATAAGTGAAACACTACTTATACACACCTAGTAGAATGAATAGATATTAAAACGACGAAATAATTTAATCGAGAATATTTACAGGCTCAACAGCTGTTTCGGATCTAGCGCGTCGACTGGACCTAGGGGGAGACTTTGGGGAGGTTGGTGGTGGTGGATTTTTAAGAGGAGCAGGATGATCCAGACCATTGGATAAAGAGCTTTTACTCTCCGTCGTCACTGGACTATCACTTGCCTCGTGCTTTGATGCTGCCGCGGAGAAAGCTATTAAACAAAAACACTTTGGGAATTAGGGCACAGTGACTGGAACTACTGAACCCATCTCCAAACCATGGTTTGAGTATGCTATTGGTTCTCCTAAAGAAGTCAGCATCGATGCAAATACAGCGAAAGTGAAACCTACAGCTACATTTAGTTGGTGTCAAACATGATTGAGAAAGAAAAATTAGAATACATGTTGTGAGTGGCTAGGAAGTTGGTATACATTTAATATTGCATCAATAAAGGCATTAAGAAGTTTGGATATGTAAGTTGAAAACTAAAAAAGGACGTCTGGTATAAAACTAAAGTTTTTTTAAATCCACTACTAAACAGGAACTGAATAAAAACAAAACCGCCTAGAAAATAAGCCTTTCTTGCGTAAACCTTCTAAATGTAGACAAAAATGAATTATCAATAACAAAAGAAACTTACAAAATGGTATCGAAGCACTAACTTTCTCCGGAAAATGGAGAAGAGGTTTGTCGGGCCTGTGGGAGAGGTGGTTGAGGTAGAGCGTAGTAGGAAAGAGGCCCAATTCCTCAATGGCTTGACCAATTTTCTTCTCCACTCGAAAGGAGGAGCTCACTTGGAGTTGGCGTGCGAGGTTCTTCAGCGGCTGACTGCACACACCACTCAATTCGCCACTAGTAGCAGTTACCATTCTGTCACTGCCATTTTCAATAACACACTCGTGTGTTGTAGCGGGTGCATTTCCATCAGTTTTGTCAATAACTGTAGATGTCCATAGAAGAAAGAAAAGAAAAAGTAGATAATGAACTTCACACGTTCAACATACTACGACGATAGGACATTACAGATGACACATGAATGAAACCCATAAAAATTTCATTATCAGAATTTGTAAATAAGGTAACAGATTTTTTTAGTTTCCGCCTGGGCAACCATCAATTTACCTCAAATCCATGCGTAATAAGAGCCGCAGTGATTAACGTGAGCGTACACTAAGCCATAAGTCACGCGATCAATATCCCTTGATGTACATCCAGTGAACAAAACGTATAGTCGAACTGACTGTCTGTCTAACAAACAGAGTGGCTCGATGATAACTATTGATTCAAGAAAAGGGTTGGAATACAGTTTCCGCACCAATGTACAAAACAGAGACCATTTTACTTCGGTAATACATGCATAAAAAGGTATCAAAGTACTTGCTAAGAAATCGCATAACTAATGATGTCAAGCGGTGGTTGGAGACCGAAACAAATAGCTTCGATGCACATGCACGAGGTTTACAGACTTTATCTCTTGTGTACCGTTTTATCAATTATTGGATACCTGAGGTTGCAAACGAGAATCTCGAACCGATGTATTATTAACAACCAGGCAACCGATCCAGAGCTTTGCATAAAAAGTCGTAAAACCAAAAGAGGCCACGTTGGAGGGTAAAAAGCTGCTATTTACTTCCTTCTGAAGTTGAACAACTCTTAAATCAGCCAACTCATCAACAACACGGAGATAGATAAGTGGCAATGAAGCTTCAAATTAAGTGTTATAGATAAATACGCATTGGCAGCGTTATCAAAGGTCAAGAACCGTGCCAAAGTATCCGGTTCAAATTGCATTTCCGTCAATTTTGCCTAATGGTTAAGATACCTCCACACACAATAACAAGACTAGCCAATACAGGAGGTACAAGTAGGAGTTCGCTAAAGGGAATGCCTTTAAGGTATCCTTCATCTAATAATGATGACTGCGACAAAACTCATCCTCGTGAGGCATGCTTAAAATGGTCGTGCTTCGCAAGAACTTAATTAGTGGCAACAATCGGGAAATACACCAATGAAGTCATCACCTTCGCTGCTGCTGCTGCTGCTACCATGACAGAAAAGTGAAACATAATTCGAGGTGTTGAAATGCAAAACTCCAATCAATGTTAAACGCCAGAAAATGTGAAGCATTTAAATGTCGTTTACTTAAATTAAAATAGGTGGACTTTTCTACAATTACGAAACTCGGTTCGTGATATTCCATGATGATTTAAAGTGGGAATAAATAATTTCTAATCAGACGCTATAAAAAGTGGGAAATGAGGGCACGCATAGCATAGGGTTATTTATATAGTATTAAATCTACATGAAAGGGCTCCACTACAGAGCCTGATTTTACATGACAGCTCTTGTCAATCCTAGACCTAATTCAGAGTCCCACTAGTCTCAGTCTAATAACTGATTTCAGAAATTCAAAGCTTGTCAAAGAACTTGGAGTCACTTCCAATATCGAGGTATCTTGAGATTTCACCAAGGAATTCTTTTTTAGCTACCCCGAATACAATTAAGACATTTAATGAGCGTTAACTGTAAATATGATAGGAGTCATAAAGATTCTTTCCATGAAATTGATAGTTAAAAATATTATAGACTTTAATAAACAATAAGGCAATAGTTACCGTGGAAGCAATATAAATAAAGACTCAGATTAAGGATATTGATAAATGAAATAAATCTGGACCACCATTGACTAGTCCACTACTTAGTTCTCTGTTAAGCCGAGTTAGTAAAGAAGGTAAAAAAGAAACTAATCGAAAAGAGCTATTAAAAATAAAATGAACGAGATGGTGCATTTAAATAATAATAATAATTGAATACACAAAACTCACTCTCATGAGCCATATGCGTAACAGCACGACGGAGAACTGAAGTGACATTGTTGTCATAGAGATCCTTCTCCAAAGATCTCAGAAGGCTTTCCACAGATGGAGAGGAAGCTGGTTTCATATCTCTAACAATAAAGACAGACTTTACTTTCAACAGCAAAGCAATTTTTCGGTAAACTTTAGCTTGTCAAAACGAAATGATGGGACAATTTTCGTGGACCCAAGTGGACACAAAATATTCAAATTTTTTTGACTCCAAATGAAGCTCTTTTAACAGCAAAATTGATTACATCGGAAAGTACCCTGATACGACGGAATGCACACTTACATAACCTAGTGAAATATAATGTACCTACCGTGGTTCAGATTTAGGGAAGAGAAGGAGAAATCTTTAATTCAGCATAGACTATAGAGCGCCTTTATTAAGTACAATTGTTAATATATATATTAGGTTGGCAACGAAGTCATTGGTGATTTCAAATAAGAAGGCAAATTCGGAATTTTTGTTTAAAAATAACTTTATTCAATTAGATATTGGCCGTTCTTGTCGATGACCTTTTTCCATCGTTCTGGCAGAGTAAAAATTCCCCCGTTCGTAAAATATCTGGTCTTTGCTATTAAAAAACTGAATTAGGTGTGATCCGACATCATCCGCGTTGTTAAAAATTTTACCATTTAAAGAGTTTTGCATGGAACGAAACAAATGGTAATCCGAAGGCGCAAGGTCAGGGCTATATGGTGGGTGTGACAAAACATCCCAACCCAGTTCCAATAATTTTTGCCGAGTAACCAAAGATGTGTGGGGGGGGGGGCCTTGCGTTATCATGATGGAAAACAACACCCTTCCGATTTGATAATGCCGGGCGCTTATCTTCAATTGCATCCTTCAGTTTTTCGGGTTGTTCAACATACACATTTGAATTTATCGTTTGGTTCTGCGGCATGAGTTCAAAATACAAAATTCCTTTGTGATCCCACCAGACTGACAGCATAATCTTTTTTTGGTGAATCTCTGCTTTTCATACTGTTTGGGCTGGTTGATCTTGCTTCACCCATGGTCTCTTGCGAGTAACATTGTTATAAACTATCCACTTCTCGTCGCCAGTAACTAGGTTCTTCAGAAATGGATCATTCTCATTGCGTTTCAGTAGCGGCGAATCACAGATGCTAATCCGTTGCGTCAAATGAATTTCCTTTAACTGGTGAGGCATCCATAAATCAAGTTTCTTGACATAACCAAGGGTTTCTAATTTTTTCAATGCATGTATGCGACACATTGAGCTTCTCTGCAATATCTCGTGTTGTGCTGTGACGATTTGAATCGATAATGGCCTTGATATGGGTTTCATCCACTTCGACTGGGCGGCCAGATCGTTGTGAATTTTTCAGTGAAAAATCACCGGAACGAAATCTTTCAAACCAATTTCGACACTGCCTTTCTTTTAATGCTTCATCTCCATATACGGCACATAACTTCTTTTGTGCTTGCGATGCGTTCTTGCCTTTTCGGAAGTAATACAATAAAATGTGTCGGAAGTGCACGTCCTGTTCTTTCATTTTTAAATTGGGATAAAAACAAAACTAAAGAACTAAACAAAAAAATTTTTTACTAATTAACCTAGAAGCCCATACAGTAAGAAAAAAATATAGGTTAGATGCTCTGGCCACGTTAACAAAACAAAGTATAGAGTGAATCTGACAACAAAAACGGCAATGACTTAGTTGCCAACCCAATATATATATATATATATATATATATATACATATAAGAATTACAAAACGGTATTTGCTAAACTAGACGTGAGACGGACTCATTGTCATCTATGAATATTGAATAGGAGTAATTGTGGAATCTGGTACCCGTAAAGCAAACTTTACCAACTTAATATTATTAACTCTGCTGAGGAAAATAGCGTATTTGACTCACTGGAAATTCAACTAGTTACACTAAACTCAGAAAATCCATATTCTGCCAAGCATTTACAAAGATAAGAAGCGAGCTCACTTTAACTGAGTGTCGACACGCCGAGCAAGAGTAACCATCTCGGTAGCCGATTTAAGAGCTTCCGAAAACTGACTGGAATTCGTTGACACCTCTGCATTGGCATTATTGCTAACTCCAACTTCAGACTTTGTTGACGTGTCACGGCGCAATCGTTTGGAAGCTAGAAAAAATGTAACAAAAGAGAAAGTTCATTAATTTCAACTACCAAACAACCGATAAGATAAAAAATAAAAGACACCAAGAGGTAAATAATGTAACAATCTCAAATTTAATGAAATGATACATTGGAACCCTCTTTCAAATCGTTCACATGGGGTGATTAACCAAGTCCATTGTGAAGAGAAGAAACAAGAAGTCACTCTTATGAAGAACTCATATTCTAACAACATGACCATGGCCCATAATTAACCAAATGCTGATGGCCAATTACGGCTCTGGATATGTACAAATTAGTATCGATCTTGTGACATCTACCATAACGGACACACTCTATCTATGCACAACTGGCAGATAAAACGGAAGAATATTCTAACACATGCAATGGAGAAGGTTAATTCCAAAATCATCATTTAAGTAAGACTCCAATTTCGTCGTTCTTCTTTATACAAACGAGACTTCTGCATTCACAAGTTAACATTATATAATATAACACGTTTCACATTCATTGCATTAACCACTGATTTAGCAACACCTTGACGAGGAAATCGTGCAGCACAGCAAATAAAGATAGTGTTGGAATAAAAGCGGATACGATAATCTTACAGATATGATCCGTGTCTTTGGGAAATTTTGACTGAGGAAGTTGGAAGTATTTAGATGCTGTCGCTTCCTCAACATAGGATTTGAGGATCCCTTCAAGGTACGATATATTGGACTCTGTTATATCCGCACAGTAAGGCTCCATAAGGGCCCAGAAACGATTTGGTATTTCACATCTACAAGGATTAAAAACGGTATATTACGATAGATCAATCAACTATGGTGAAAGTTCATGTTAACCAGATATAACAAGAGGCTTACGGAGATGGTAATGGGCTAGCAGGTATTGACTTTGAAGTCTGAAAATATCAAAAAAGAATAAATCGCGAATAGCATAATTATTACTTAAGTACGGAATTCCATGATAAATCTACAGTTGACAAAATTAAAAAATTGCCAATAAAACTTGAGAAAGTCTGTTGAAAGAATAGCATAAGAGAATAGTTAAGAAAGAAATCATAAAACACAAAAAATCCAAAGGCGTAGCACTTAAGCTTAAAACATCTATACAACCCGAAACTCATGCTTATTTCTCAAGGCAAACTAGCCTGCTTAGTTGTAACACAGAGTTGAAAAACCAAGAATCTAAATAAGTAAGAAATTTGTTCATTAAACGAATTGAAGAACAGCCACTGAATTAGATTCATTGGGAATAACAAAGGCGATTGCTTAATTTGTGTACGATCGGGAAAAATTGAAACCAAGTACATCTGGGTTAAAAACGATTTAAACCACAGACAAAAAGTTAGGTCTAATAAAGGAAGAAATAACACCAGTACATCGTGACGCAGTGATAACTATACTCACCTGCCAACTAAGATAATCCAGTGGAACTCTCATTGACCAAATCGAAAAACGATAACTAACTGTACCAAAAGTAGAAACCAGGTCGCTACCAGAACCTTGAAACAAGTTACCTTCAAGCTGATGCATGCCTAATTGAACGAGCCGGATAATGGACACTACTAGTGGCAGATACAGACATCATTGTCAATTATGAAGAACAAAAATTATTGCTGCAACCCGTTTTCCTAATCACCAGTTAACTAAAAAGGACTGAGAATTCTAACTAACCAAAGATAGTAAAGAAAGAGAGAAATGAAATAACCTTTTTTACCTTCTCTTTATCACTCAGTCCAGCATTTTGACTCCCTGTTTCCAAATCCAATGGTTGAGCTTTCTTGTTCGAGATTATTATACTAAGGGGATTGTCGGGGTTAGTGCTAGCTCTAAGACACGAGGAAGATGATTCCTCTGGTTTTGCTTGCTTTAGTTTCGCCGTCTCAAGTGGATGCTGCGGCTGATTATCCGGATCGGGTTCCATTAGACCGAGACTGCGCAAAACTGGATCAGGCATTGGCTCACCATGCAAATATCGGGATATACATGTCAATCGTTGGGTATTTGCAGCAAGCATACGCTCTAATTCTGTTTGTAGACGGGGAAAATCCAGTAGATTTACCTCTCCATTGTCTAACACTTAACATTAGATAAGTAATATGCTCGAGTAAAGTCAAGAACAGTAAAAAATCTAAAAGTTTTGAGAAGACATACATTGATGCAGAATTTGACATTGGTTAGGAATATCTACAGCTGAATGTTCTATTGCATATGCCGCGGTATCATTCAGAGCCTTCTTGGATCTTGAATGATGCCTCATTTTAGCACCTTTAAGAAATAGTAACAAATGATTTAAGCTGTTATAATTAAAAAGGAAAACGTAAGCATACAATTAAAAAATAGCAGTTTAAATATTAAAGAGGAACCGTAACATAGAGTTATTAAACTGAAGAAAAACATAACCCAATGGTAAAATTCTAAAAAAGCCTGTGACTTAACTCTTACAAGACCTATTAAAGAGTTAAATAAAAATAGAGTAATATGGGAATCATTAATTGCACTAATAATACTGGAAATTAGAACTTAAGTACTTGTTCATTTATAATTTCATAAATCGCAATCAGAGTTATTGCGACGACAATTGAGCTATTTGCACGACAAACACACATTCTTTAATTACATCTAGGTCGTTTAAATCGTGTATATTGGATGACAGACATGCTCAAACGCGTCCCACATTTCACTTTCCATTTATTCAATTTATTACAAGTTATTAATCTTAGTATGCTTAAGTAACTTTTATAATTTTGGTGAAATGATAGTATTAAGGCTGTTATTAATTTGATGTTCACAATATTTCAAAAACACAATATTAGTAAATAATCGTCTTGCTTTTATATGTTAGTTACCATTATTATTGAACGGAAATATTCTAAAACAATCTGATATTTCACGTGAACCTGTTTGATGGGATTGAATTTTATTGTGAAAGTATAAATCTGGAGTTGAACGTATTTTATTATTTTGTAGGCCGTTGAGTACATTACTATTATTTATGAGCACTCACGAGTGTATATGATTACCAAATTAATCTCTCGCGTCAGAATATTTCAGAAAGTGCTCAGATACTCCAGATCGGTAAGCAGTGAACTCGGAATATATAATGAAGTTTTCGTGCCATAAGACGGTAAAACTTTACATAACGAAAAATAACTGTTCATACTTACTTGGAATAAAATATTCTTATACAATAGGTCTTATGTGCTCTTTACTCTAGATGTATTCCATTTAATTGTTTGGCAACTTCTACTAATGTATTCTGCTATTTGCCTACAGCATTTCTTTGCTAAGAATTTTTATATGTTTTTATAGATTTGCCATGTGAAACAGATTTTCTGAGATTTTTTTGTAAAACTGAGTAAACAGTGTTTATCAAGTAGACTAAAACTTCAGGTTTCTAAAAGCAATCAGTTTTAAGAGGTTTTAACATAGTTTAATAGCCATTATTGTAAGAATTCTAAGCACTGCCAAGAGCGAAATCGTTCAATGAGGACAAAAGATGCTATTTAGGTTTCCCACTTTTTCCAATATCATTGATCATTGTGAGATGATTCCATTGTTGGAATATATGTCTTAGACATAAATTAAATTTTGATTAAATATATTTCGACTGTATTCAGAGATTTTGGACTACTTGGTATACTTTATTTCATGGTCTATCTTTCTGACTGTTTGCTAATAATCTTGTGGTCAAGTGTAGTAATCGGCTATTTTTGAGGAAAGTAATAATAATTGCTCTTCATTGCACGGCTTTAAGTTCTAAGTATTCACTTTGACTGTCAGTGGAAACTATCCAAATGTCCACGGACTCCATGAGATGGAAGTGGGAAAGTGGTATAGAAACCAATTCATTTCAGGAATGAAACAACAAGTTAGACATCGGTTTGTGATTGTATGTTTATAAGAGCTTGAATTGGTTCAGAAAGGGAAACTGAATCATAAGAGGGGAAAAATAGTATTAAGATATTTTATGAATTTCGAGAATCATTCCCACTTATCCAATCTTAAGTGGAGTCCATAGTTGGTAATGCTTTCGAACACATGCATAATTTGCCTCATGATTTTTCTGTTTGACCGATCTCAATGATATCAAAAAGAAATTCAGATTTTCTCTTTTGCTCATGAATCATTTTGAAGATAACAGAACCCGTTTCACTCTGTTTTCAATCAAGTAAATTAGTAAGATATCCATGTCGTTCGGGTTTTTTTCCCCGACTTGAAGTTGGGCCTCTTGTAAAAGCAAAATGGAACAACTTTTCTATTGCGTTTAGTATCGCAAAGAAACAATAAGGTAGGTGAACAGAGCACAACTTATATCTTTGAGGATAAACTGCTTATTTACATGATTCCTTTTTCTCATTTACATTTATGAACTATGTTTTACTTAATGCGGTGTCCTCCTTTTGCCACCTCCCTCTCTGTCGCATATATTTGTGGCAACAGTGTCTGGATCTCACTCCTCTTTCTTTAGAGAGTCAATGCGAACTACCACAAATAATGGAGGGCATTCTAGGAAAGTTCTTTGTTGTATCGAATCAGTAAGGCATTTCGGATAGCAGTACATCGATACCTTAGTATTGAAATATTTTATTTTATTTCAAATGGCAGGCTTTATGATATT